ATAAAAATATTTATTATTCTACTGTATGTTAACAACCTGATTATATACAATCATTATTCTGCTTTATAAATAACATGTCTTAGTGTCAAAAAATAAAAATGTATTTATTACTCACTAAAAATTAGGATTTCAATGTCATATAAATATATATTTGACATTTAAATATATAATAATATTTGAAGTGTCAGACATTTCGAGAAATTTTAATTGATTTAAACGTTTTAATGTCCTTATTATAAGATATTCATTTAAATAAATGCTATTAATATTAATATTTTAATTAATTAAAATTATTAATTACTATATATTAAAATTCTTTTTTTTTATCATCATTATTTTTAGTGCGATAAACTCTATTACAGACAAATCATTTGAATATTCTAAATAATTAACACAAATATGTGTTTGCATAAGTTTAGCTTTAAGTAAATTTGTATGAGAATCAAAAATTTATAACATGTTCAATTAGTAATGATGTATAGCAAGTGCTTATTTTATTTTAATGTGTAAGCACTAAATCAACATTTTAATGTAACGTATAGAGAAATTTTAATTCAAAAAAGTTATACATATGTTTATATATTTTTTTATAGATAAAAAAAACTTTTCAACCAATTAAATAATATTTGCAATAATATATCCAACGCTGCACTAAAACTATCATATTCTTAACTTATTTCATTACTTTGTAATATACTCGAGACTGTAATAACGAAAGAAAGAGATAGACATTTAATGAGACACGGGAAGGACGAGCGATGATAATAATTACTTCCTGTACTCACCACCATTAATATATTATTAACAATTTTAATATAAATTACCTGTTATAACAGTTCATTTTATTAGGTTAATGTTCACATTTTAATTAAGACTCGGCACCGTTAAAAACCTTTGATAGGTACTAATATTATCTTACACTATTTGATGTCGTCTCAAAAAAATGTACGAAAAAACAAATTCTAATTACTCGAAGTTAGTTTTCATATTTCCCGATGATAGTTTTCAAAGTATTTTTATTTAAACTGAATAATTAAAGGAAAATGGCACAAGCTAACCACAAGGATAAATGACACATATAGTTTCTTTAAGAGGGAATTTAATCAATTCTGATATATATTTGTTATTATTTTAAAAATAATTTTTATAATAAAAAGAAATTGTTTTTAAATGATTCAAACAAAAAATCGTATGGGCAAGTTGATAAAAGGTCAATCCATTCCAAATCATCTAGAAGTGGTTGCACGACCTCCTCATACTTTTCAGAAATTTTCAGGGTTTATTCTTTATACAATAATTAGATTAAAATAATTTTTATTTTTTTAATGACCTTACCATTTTTATGGCTATTTAAATTTAAAAAATGTTAAAAATCGCCAGTACATTAAAAAACACACAGATTATTCTGTCTTCTCATTCGAATTAAAATTTTAGAATTGACCTTAATATAACTTAAAATTTACATTAAAAAAAAAACACATTTTTGTAATTGTTTTATATATTATTGTATATTACGATTCAATATAATTATTATATATGCTATAATTATTCAATTCATTATTTTAGTTGCAAAATAAAAAAATAATTAATTAAACTATTATGATAATATTGCAAAATATTTTAATAAATAATCATGGTTTTATTCTAGTAGTTAGAATATTGTGTCTTCATAAATAATATCTTAAATAAATAACTAAAATTATATCTTAAACATAATTATGGTAGTGTTATTAATTGGTTAAAATCTGAGTTTTCCACAGATTCAGTATTACTGAGAATAGTTTTACACGATTTTAATCCCATATTAGGTATTTTTCGTTTTGTTGTACTTCTGAGATGGATATATTAATATATATTAATAATTAATAAAATATATATTAATGTAAAATTGAAACATATCAATTGGCGTTAACATTTGGTAAAAACCAATTCGTTACAAGATACATTTACCAAGCAAAATTATAAATTTATAGTACAGGATGAAATTCAAAGCTTCCTTTGGGTTAATAAACAAGCCACTCTTCTTCCTTTTGTTATTTATTAAAAATAGATGATATAATTAATTGCCGATGTATATGTATAATTAGTGATTACATGGAACATAATAATGTTTCTGTGTGCTTCCAGTCAATACAAAAAAAAGGTTTATTAATCTGTGTTATCATATTGACGACTTTGGTTTTAACGCAGAATGGCATTTATTTACTTTGTGTCATGGCAAAATGGCCAGTGATGGAGTTGTTGGTATAGCAAAATGAAAAATAACAAAATGTAGCTTAACTCGAAGCACCTTCATTAAATTAATTAATTTTTTTTGCAAACAGAAATGAATTTGATATCTTGTAAAAAATATTTTTTAAATTTAAGAACAGAAACGTTATTATGTTCCATGTGATGACTAATTATGTTTCAATTTTCGATGAAAAAATTACAGGGATAAAATATATTAATATATCCACCTCAGAAGTACAACAAAACGAAAAACACCTAATATGGGATTTAAATTGTGTAAAACTATTCTCAGCAATAGTAAATCTGAGGAAAACTCAGATTTTTACCTATTAATAACAGTACCATAATTATGCTTAAGATATAATTTATTTATTTATTTAAGATATTATTTATGAAGACACAATAATCTAACTAATAGAATAAAACCATGATTATTTATTAAAATATTTTACAATATTATCATAATAGTTTAATTAATAATTTTTTATTTTGGAATTAAAATAATGAATTGAATAATTATAGCATATATAATAATTATACTGGATCGTAATATACAATAATATATAAAACAATTACGAAAATGTTGTTTGAAAAGAACAAAAAACTATCATTAAATTATTTGATTTTGAGTGGATTTTTACTGATTTTCTAATGCTAAATATTACTTGTTACACTTTTTTTTCAAACTTCAAATTTTATGATGTATAAAGCAAATAAATATCTAAAAAATTAAATTAAATTTTATTGAAATTAGGTCCCCCAACATATTGCACCTAGAATACATGTATTTTTATAACATTTCTAACTTTGTATGCCTCTAAATTCAAGATAATTGTTTTAAATGTTTGAAATTTAGTTGAATCATAGATTATACACTACACAATACCACATGTAATAATCACAATAAAATAATAACTTCTTAATGGTTTTAAGTGAGCTCAAAAGCGACATTTTTTGAAAGTCATTAAAGTTTAGAATTTCACATAATTTTTTTTTTTTTATGTAAATTTTAAGTTATAATAAGGTCAATTCTAAAATTTTAATTCGATTGAGTTAATATTGAATAATCTGTATGTTTTTTAACGATATGGCTGTTTTTTAAATTTTTTTAACACGCCTATATTATGAAATAATATATAATAAATATAATAAGATATAATTTTAGTTATTTATTTAAGATATTATTTATGAAGACACAATATTCTAACTACTAGAATAAAACCATGATTATTTATTAAAATATTTTGCAATATTATCATAATAGTTTAATTAATTATTTTTTTATTTTGCAACTAAAATAATGAATTGAATAATTATAGCATATATAATAATTATATTGAATCGTAATATACAATAATATATAAAACAATTACAAAAATGTGTTTTTTTTTTAATGTAAATTTTAAGTTATATTAAGGTCAATTCTAAAATTTTAATTCGAATGAGAAGACAGAATAATCTGTGTGTTTTTTAATGTACTGGCGATTTTTAACATTTTTTAAATTTAAATAGCCATAAAAATGGGAAGGTCATTAAAAAAATAAAAATTATTTTAATCTAATTATTGTATAAAGAATAAACCCTGAAAATTTCAGAAAAATATGAGGAGGTCGTGCAACCACTTCTAGATGATTTGGCATGGACTGACCCCAAACGCTAGTTGAGGCAAAATGGTTTAAAAAGGGTTAATAAATCCTATAAAAATACTACATTAATGGACCGTTTAGGCTAATAACTATAATATTAGACTTAATTTAGTACTAAAACTTAAGCCTTATCTGTAAATATAAACTTTAATATGAGTTAATTTAAATAATAACGTTTAATGAATAACTCAAATTAAATATCAATATAATAACTTAAGAATTTGGAAGCAAGTTGATTACATTGAACTTTGTCAGTCTTAGAACAAAACCATTTTGGGATCAATTCTTATATGCCTTCAAAAATGTTGTACTTTTTTATAAATTACTCATTAAAAATAAAAATCTGTTAAAAATTCTACGTGAAAAAATAAATTTACAAATACTCCTTTAGTTTATATTTATCTCATTTCACCCTATTGTATCATATTTCCCCGACTTATTTATCATCTTTAGTGGCCATGAACTCATATCATTCAAGTTTTTGTTTAGTTTTTCTGTTTTATCTTAAAATACATTGTATTAGCTTTCATTTGATGTAGGATTAAGAAATGAAGATTATGAAAAATGTTGTTATGACTTTTAAGCCCTCAAAGTACTTCAGGTTAATAATTGAATTTACAAAAAAGGATGTCTTTGTCAATGCAAACGTTTAAAGTATTATTAATAAAAAAATCACAATAATCTGATAGTCAAGTTTTAAAAACGTTATTTCAATATAAAATTAAAACTATAAACATCGAAGTTAAAAGTTAAGTGTGTTAACTAGACCAGATCTCCCTTATAACTAATATTAATATAACCCTTCTAATATTAAAAATATTTACTCAATCAAATATTACATCAAATCATTTATTACACTTAGTATAGTTAAAATGTATAATTACAGAATGATAATTATATTTATGCATTAAAAGAAATTGTAGTATTTTAAAATCTGTTGTAAAATTAAAACTACCCAATGCCAATAGATTATTCTTAAATAACGCGAGTTTTTTTAGGAATAATCTATTCGCTTCCCGCCCTGTGATAAAACACTATTTCAGGTAATGTAATCTTTATGTAGTAACGCCTTTCGGCTCTTGTGCAGATTATTACCCAAAGCATATTGTGGTTATAATAAAAACTTAAGAAAAAAAAATACTCATTGTCGATGCGATTATACTAAAATAGCGTCGAGCGTTAAAAACAAAACTAATGTAAAAACATTAAGTTCCGGCCAACCACTCGGATCGTTTGATAACAGATATCCTGGCTCGTTTCAGCACGTCAGGCTCGAGTATTTTCTGGATCAGTATTTTGACGGACGTGCTGGACATGAGCAAGTGTCTCGGCCTGAACATGACTATGTCTCTGGCCAACTGTTGCTTCACGATTTCTGTTCTTTGTTTACCGTCAAACGGCACCAGGCCCGTCAACATGTAATGCAATACGCCTCCTGCACTAGGTAAAACACGGACGTTTTCACAAGTGTAAGTTAAGTTTTATCGATGAACATGAGGTACATTTTAACGTCGAACCCAACCCAGGCAAAAACTTTAAGCTGACTAAATCTATTACTTTACTAATTGTAACTTAGTTCGATAGTTTCTGTGTTACTCTAATTATATACCTTACCCATTGACCATATATCGAAGAAAATGGCATTGTACCCGTCCTTGGGATTTTTCAGAACTTCGGGTGGCATGTACATTTTGGTGCCGCACCGGGTGTGGGACAGAACACGACGACCGTCTCGCGAGTCTCGGCAATAATCGGCCAACCCGAAATCGGCGACCTTTACTTTGTTCTGATGATTGAGCAATACGTTTTCAGGCTTCAGGTCCCTGTGTGCCACGTCTATGCCGTGTAAATACTCGATGGCTGACACGATTTGCGCAAACAATACCTTGGCGTCGGGTTCGGTGTACGGGCCGTTCTTGCGGATCATCTGAGCCATGTCACCGTTCCTACACCAAAGTCACCGACTGATTTATTAGGCAGCGAATTATGGAGCGGCGCGCACGGCTTACTTGCAGTACTCCATGTACAGGTAAACGCATTTCTGTTGGTCGCAAATCTTGTAAAATGTGATCAAATTCTCGTGACGAACTTTCTCTAGGATCGATATTTCTCGTTTGACGGCTGACTCGTTGGTCCGGTAAGCTGTCGAGTTCTTGACGATAATCTTGACGGCCAAACCGACGCGCCTGTCGGGAAAATGGGCCACGCAGTACTTCACTTTGCCAAACGAACCTTTTCCAATAGTCTCCTTGAAATACACTTTTACTGACTCTTTGGGAACGTTCCTTGCGCATTCTACCGAAACGTCGTCTCCTCCCCCGACCGCATGACGCTCTGAAACGGTCGCCATCCCATGTAATGTAATTCTAACGATATGTTCTAATTAAATTCGAATGTGTGGCGCAGCATGTTGACGAATAAAAGCTTTTATTTTTAAAAACAGATTCTTATATTTTATTTAAAATCGAAAAATAAAAAATCTATTAAAATCGATGTCGAGCATATTTAAAAGTATTACAAGTAATTAAACGATCAAGATTAATCGGGAAAAAGTCAGTATTAAAGAAAAAGTGGAATCAAAAAATGATATCAGTTGTCCTAGTAAAAGGAAGGTCATATTTAGTTTGTTATTACAATAATTACCGAGTAGCTATGGAAATATTCAATTGCATAATATCATTAATGTTTGATCATATCGAAGCAATGTTGTTTAATGTTTACAGAAATTTGTTAGAATAAAAAAGTTTTAAATACTCGAAATAAATGTCCACTCTTACTAAAATTTTAAATGATATAATCGTTTTAAACTATTCGAAAAGAAAAAATAGAATTTCAAAAAACTTTGATATTTATTTTTTTTAAATATTTACTTTTTATTAGCAAATGAAGAAATATTATTTTTTTATAATTCTTATCGTCGCTATAATAAAATGCATTCGATGCATCCGACGCATCGGTTATATTGGTTACAGTTCTTATCATAAACCATCGAACATGTTTACAATATTATAAAAATAAGTAAATTATACTTATATAAAAATAAAATATAAAAATAATTTTTTTTAGATTAAAATAGTCTATAATCTGACCCTACTTAGCAAGCCTTTTTAATCTAATGATTATAATCATTAAATTAATGTTCATAAATACCGATATAATTATGACCGTGTACGATCATAATTTTATTGATATTTACCGAGACAAAGTTCATATTTGAACAATATAATTTTTTAATCATTGCTAGTTTAATTTCAAAGTAAATACAAATAAAACATACAATATAAATAGATGCTGTAACCTAAATTACTAATTCACTAATAGACTATTCATGTATTTTATAATTTTAGCCTAACTTAATTGAATAAAAAGATATTTAGTCTAACTACAAAAATATCACAGATTCCAGTAGCCAACGTCATCCCAATCCTTTAGTAAAACACGACCATAAAATTATATATATATTAAAATTTAATAGACAAGTGATTTGAAAAACCTCAATGACATGATGATATATTTTGAATTATTATCAATATAAATAATAAACTATACAAAAAAAAGAAATGAAAACATCAGACGCCCAAAAATGTTTGATTGGCACGAGTCAAATGCGATCATGTTCAAAAATGTGAAATGCCTTCGATCTCAATTCGTTAACGTTTTTCTCGACAATTGTCGTGTTGATGGTTTTGTTTTTAAAACGCTTTTACTTGAACAACTTACTTGGGGAGCATGTAACACGATACCCGACTGGATAAAACGAGAAAAGGCCTAATGGCTTAAATAAGTATTGATTTGTACACCGGAGGAGAAAACTGTACAAAAAAACGCATAACCATAACTCGATTTCATAACTTATGCGTATCACAATATTATTAGTACAAACTTACGGGATGTAGAAAACAAACATACTTTCAACTAAACAATTTTTATTTTTATACATACGCGTATGCAAAACAATCAGTAGTTTAGAGTACTAACATTAGCAGACACATGATAGAATTATATGCAAATATGAATTAATATTATCATTTTGACATATTTAAATTATACATATCTTATTTATCTTGTTTTAAACGTACCCGATCAGCAACGATACTCAATAGATTCGATTATTATTGTTCGAATGAGATTGACAACCTGTTTTTCAAAGGATTTCTCATCCTCTGTTATTTATTTCCTAAAAATACAATAAATGTAAACATATAGTCTCGAAAAATGATTTGTACGATTACCGGATAGCACGAAGAGTTCGCGTGCTCGTGGGAACTACGTTACATAAAACTCTCCGGAGGAAACCGTACAGTAATTACACGACTCTCCCTTTATTGCTACTATAAGTAGAGTTATTTTTGAGAAATAAAAAAAGGAAATGTAATAACCAAATATGAAAAAAAATGATGATTTGCCGCCCGCAGAAGACAACGACCTGCAGGACTTGGAACAACCGCCTCTCGACCGCCAAAACCGCGCCCACCCGTGGGAGGGAGTGAGCCGCCCATCAACGGGTTACCATGGTTGCCGTCGGGGGTCTTATCAGTGGTAGGGGAAATGCGTGTAGCCAAAACGTGCAGCTGGACGGCCGTCGACAGGCCGTCCGGGATGCGGTTGTCAGTCGGCTGCTAAGCCCTATACGTCCAACACACGCACGTCGGTAAATCGGGCGCGTTTTGTCTGCAGAATTCTGTGTGTGTTGATTTCATTTTATTCGTTGCGACATCAGATTTCAGAGGACAATAATTGTGCGTTTGTTACGGTGAAATCTTTCTAATTTCGTGAGTTGCTTTTGATCGGCCATGTGCTCACGAGCACGTTGATCCACACGGTCGGGTGAAATGTTAATCGGTAGCGGCGCGACCGGCGCCAATTTCGGACAGTTCGGTTCAGTTGACCATTCGGGCGGAGGTCATCCAGGTACATCGCCTCATCACGGGACGGCGGCGGTGACGGCAGCAGGAGGTGCCGGAGGTGGACAGCCTCAACAACAGCACTCGCCGGCGGGGTCTTCGTCGGGCGGCGGCGGCGGAACAGGCAGCATGGCACCACTTCAATTGCCGTCTTTTGGATTCACACAAGAACAAGTCGCGTGCGTGTGCGAAGTGCTCCAGCAATCGGGCAACATCGAGAGGTTGGGTCGGTTTCTGTGGTCGTTGCCCAGCTGTGACAAGCTGCACAAGCACGAGAGCGTTCTCAAAGCTAAAGCTATCGTGGCGTTTCACCGGGGCAATTTTAAAGAACTCTACCGGTTGCTGGAGAGCAACCAGTTTTCGGCGCACAACCACCCCAAACTTCAAGCCCTCTGGCTCAAGGCCCATTACGTAGAAGCCGAAAAGTTGCGCGGCCGACCGTTAGGCGCCGTCGGCAAATACCGCGTCCGTCGAAAGTTCCCGCTGCCTCGGACCATTTGGGACGGCGAAGAGACCAGTTACTGCTTTAAGGAGAAGTCCCGCATGGTGTTACGCGAATGGTATGCCAGCAACCCCTACCCGAGTCCCAGGGAAAAACGCGAGCTTGCTGAAGCTACGGGACTCACCACTACCCAAGTGTCAAACTGGTTCAAAAACCGGAGACAACGCGACCGAGCCGCAGAACAAAAAGACGGGTAAGTAATTGAAACCTAAAAAGTCGACAGACAAACGAGTGCTACTGGAAATATAACTCGGCCCAGTAATATTCGTATAGAGTTGCATTTGTCGTTTTGTTAGTAAAACTGGTAAATTGGAAAACCTAAAAGTTGGTTTTTCATGTAACATTGTTGACTTATTGTTTGGCTCGTAGTATTTTGAACAATCAGTGCAAAATATCCACAAGTATTATCTAAAATATTGACATTAAAATCTACGATTGTACGAAATGAGCGTATAGTTGAACTCTATATTTTTAATAACAGCCTTTAGCAGCAACCAAATAGAGGTATCGTTTCAAATATTCTTACACCTCCTCAATACACAAACGCGCCCGTTGTCGTTTCGATAACATTTTCAATAGTAATGTTCCGTGTAATCTCAGTTATAAAATATTGCCTATTGACACAATCTCTAGTCGGGCTGTCAGTCTCTCGATCAATAATTGACTAGCTAATTGTCGTTCTCAGCACCGTATAAAAACCAAAAAGATTGAAATGTTATTAAAATTTGGACATTTTAACGTTATTTTATTTTCACGTTAAACGTCCAGAACGGTCGTAAACATTTGAAACGTAGGCGGCAAGTGAGCTACTTTTTTCTTGCGTACAATTCTTTTTGAATATAATGTCTGTAAGGAATATATATTTTTTTTTAATTACTTTATAAATAGTATTATATTTGAAGTTTATTTATATATTTTTCGATTACGTTTAGATTACAACGTTCGTTCTAAATGTTATAATTATAACGTTATTCGTAACTTTTTCCTGTACTGAAAAAAATACATTGTAGTCGAGTGTTTTTCTATAAACAAGTACTTCATCGTACAGTTTTCTAACATGATTCGAAACTTGTTTTTGAATAAGATATTAAACAAAATCGAAAGTATTCCAAATGTCTGATTAGAAATATATTTTTCAAGTGTACCAAACCAGACGGTTTCATTAGAAAACACAAACAATAATACAACTCAAAACGTAGTGGCCACTACGAAAAATTTCTTGTCACAAAGTTGTTCGAGCGGTTTGGGATTTCATATTGTTCAAATAACACAATTATTTTTACACGAGTGTCGATGTTTTTTTTATATTTTGCAACTCGGCCAATTCCGTTCAAATATTAGCCGCCATCGGCTGAGAACTCGATCAGGCCAATAATATAATTTCATTCTTGTTGGCTTCCGACTCATGTTCGGGTTCTTATTTTTAATTTTACACTTATACTCTACCGAATGGCTGCGGTCGGGCCATACACTTAAGTGCACGCGATATTGTTCAGGTGCGTATACAATGCAGAAACACCCCCCCGAGGCCGGTCTAAAAATACCATAGCAACACGGTTTTGAAACTCGACCTTAAAGTTTTGATTCGCGGCTGCCGCCGTTAAATTCAAGACAAAAAACATGCGGAACACTAATCGCCGCCCAAAACGTAATAAACGAATGTAATGGATGTACTAAATCATTTCATATTGTGCAGTTACTTTTACAATGAAATTATAAACTGCGGTAAGCAATACCATGTCGATAATAGAAAATAATATTTATAGTAAATACAATTGAATCCGTTAAATTTAACAACAGTTCTATAAAATCCATGTTATTTTTGTCAAGAACAACCCGGAAAATAACAACTGCACAACTCGAAAGCCCTTCGTTCAAACAACTGGAACTGAAATTATAAAAATTATTTTGATTTTTAAGTACCGTAAACATTTTATTATTCCAAGTTATGTTTTTGCATTAAAAATATTAACTGTGCTATCGATCGGTTGTAGCCTATGACAACAAATACATGTATTAATATTAATTACTACCTAATATCGAAAACCGATAAACAAAATTTGTCGTCATTATATTATAAGTTTGGTCATTTAACAGCAATTTAAGAGAATAATTTTTACATTTATCTAAAAAAAAATTCACCTAGTCATGGTATCATTTATGCAACATTATGTGTGATAATACTATTCAACGTGCAAAAAGCATGATAACATACGAATCTCAAAGAGGTGTTTAATCAGATGCATAATTCGAATTTAACGAATGAATCCGACAGGTTATCATTGATGTTTGATAGCATTAATTCATCTTTTTTTATTTGAAATTGGAAGACATTTTTGCTGAGAAAATAATCCAGATTGTCAATATCTGAATAATCTGTATAAATATTGTCCAGAAAGATTGTTAACCAACACGTGTCACTTGAGGCACGTGTTGAGGCGATTCAAAACCTCTATGATAACACGTTCATTTATTAAATTCGAATTATGCATCCGATTAAACACCGATGCTACACACGCATACAGAATGATTTTTTTATCGCGACTCGCTCAATTACTCGCAAAATCAAAATTGAAAACTTTAAGCCGCCACCGGCATGTCGAGTTTGGGCGAAACAATTCTTAATATTAACTTGAATTGTATACTCGAAATTGGACACCAATTCTATTGAGGTTTTCTGGTCCTGTGAGAGAGCGTATCGTTTGGGTTTACACAAAAAATGTGTTTAAAAAGCTCATTGAGCTTGGCATTGTATCGCTGCCAAACAGCCTCGCGTACTAAGTGATTATTGCTATAAATATTATTATTATCCTATTTCAAAAATTCGACTTGGTGAAACAAAGGTAATCATCGCGTACAACGTGCCGTCATTAAACTAACCTAATATCTCATCTATTTATAACTTTAAGCAATCCGCACTGCAGCCCACGTCACATGGCCAGACCCGGTGCATTAACAACACCGTTGGAACCGACAACAGTGTGTCGTGTAAAATGTAAATATAAACTAACCAAAATGTGTTATGTCGCAGCTATTCAGTGTGCCGGCCAGTCGGAGGCTTTTTTACATTGTCGTATTGTGTACATTTGGATCCGGTTGGATTTCGCCAAACGCACTCGTTGCAATACACAACACTGCGGCGTTGGGCAAGAGATGAAGTAGTCGAGAATAGGTACTCGGTTCGTTTGTTTAGGATTCGCCACACAAGAACAGATGGCCACCGATGAAAGTTAAATAAAACCCCTGCGCTTGGTTTTGCCAAGCACTTAAAGCACTTTGAGTGCTCGAGAAAAATTCCGCCGAAAACGACGGCGATAATTGCAAATATAAAGTCAGTTAAAAATATATTGCAAAAACAGCTGAAGGTTTTCCAGCCGAGTCGTAGTAATCCGACAATGTTCTCATCGGACTCTGCGCACCAGTAATTGGAGGCAATCGTAATAATCCAGTGATCTATTTTGTTAGTCGGTAGTAACGGTGTTTATATTATTATTTTTTTTGTTACTGCTTGCGTATGTTTTACTTCCGCTTGCAACATTCGAAGCAGTTTTGGCGACGGTAGTTGATCATCTCCAGAAATAATTTGATCTTGTGATATATTTCTAGTTTGCCTTCTTCTTCACTTCTGTGTTATCGTTTTAAAAGTGCACTCTTAAACACACTTTTTTCTACGTAAATCAATAAATCCGTTTGATAACCAATCGATATTCTTGTAAAACTACAAACAACAAGTGTGATGGTATAGAGTTTGATAACAATCATCTTTGAAAATGCTATTTTAAAGAATACCCGCGGGTTTTTATTTATCAAACTATTTAAGTAAAAATTAATTACTATTACTATTAAAGTAAGTTCGTTTGGTCCGGTGAACCTTAACCACATTCTGGCACTTGGTTATGACATAAAATAAAATCAACGCTGAGGTGGTGCATATTAATACAACAATAGTGTCATTACAGCCGATAACGACACAATATCTTCTGCCTCGTTATGTCGTGTCTTTAGTCGAAGGTGGTCGCAGCCGCAACCTGATACGCCTGTTAATTTTATGTACTCGTGCGGACACACATACACATGTGAGTGATAAAATATTAAATAAATGTCCTCGTGTGCAACAGCCAATATGTTAGTGTATCTCAGCGGTTGAAACGGATTTACAATTACTTGTCAATTAATAAATTCGCGAGTTTTTATGGTTCCTAAACGTACTATTGAAATCATTTGTATGCAAAAATAAAATCCACGTTAATTGTCTATTCATTTTTCGCGTTATTGTGTCGAGATGTTTTCGTAAATATATTTGCATAATTTTTTATGCCCGAAAAAGAAGATAATACATTTAAGACAGTTTTTGCCGTTAAAATATTACACATCTCATTGCGATATGCATTCTGTTTGAAGCCGGTGTACAAATTATCGAGATGTTTTGCGTAAAAGTCTAAGAAATTAGATAATAAATACATAAAATTAATCTTAAAAAATTGTAAAGATGCCATTCATAAAATACATGAAATTCTCAACCACGGTTTGCCTTCTGTTTTAAATAGCTGAGAGAAAGAGAAAAATAATTGGTAGGTAAATAATGAGCAAGTTCAAACTTCAAATAGAACAGTTCCAATAACCCTATATAACAGTCATTTTTTATTTCTGTTTTATTGCCTTTAATAAAACAGTTGGATTTGATATCTGAATCTTATCAGTTTCTTTTGTACTAATTATATTTTTTCATGTAAAAAGTATTCACGATGAGTTTCTAAAAATAACGATTACATAGAACATAAATTATAGAAATATATATCGAATAAAAAAAATAAACCTTTCTCAGTAATTCGATCTAAGACGATTCCATACGTTTGCGCGTACATAGACTATAGAATATAACTCTAGTACACTATCGCTTTTATATACATACTTATATCATTTTAATGAACAAATTGTGCACTACTGTTGTTGAGGTGAGTGTTAATTAAAACGACGACAAGTAATGCGATACGATCGATAGAACTTGCAACGGTGTCCGTCTATTGTTTTTGATAACAATAAGTGGTAAAAGGGATGCAAAATGTCACACGTCAACTTCAGTAATTTAAATGAAATACTAATTTATCAATAGACATATCATAACCACCGAGATAATTACTGAAGTTATTTAATATTGAATTTCGTGAAGGTATTTCTCGGTTATAGTTAATA